TATTTTATTTTTTGTTGTTGTTGTGATTGTAAATAAGATTGTTTCCTTGATTTCTTTTTCTGCTGGTTCATTGTTAGTGTATAGGAATGCAACTGATTTTTGAAAATTGATTTTGTACCCTGCAACTTTGCTGTACTTGTTGATTATTTCTAATAGTTTTCTGGTGGATACTTTATAGGGTTTTCTATATATACAATCATATCACCTGCAATTAGCAAAATTTCACTTCTTCCTTTCCAATTTGGATTCTTTTTTACTTCTTTTTCTTGCCTAACTGCTCTGGCCAATACCTCCCATACTATGTTGAAGTAGGAGTGGCAAGAGTGGACATGCCTGTCTTGATCCTGTTCTCAGAGGGATGGCTTTCAGTTTTTCGCCATTAAGTATGAGTTGGCTGTGGGTTTGTCGTATATGGCCTTTATTGTATTGAGGTACTTTCCTTCTATACCATCTCCCTTTTTATTGAGAGTTTTAGAATGATAAATGGCTGTTGGATCTTGTCAAACGCTCTCTGCATCTACTGAGATGATCATGGGATTTTTATTCCTCACTTTGTTGATGTGGTGTATCACATCGATTGACTTGCAGATGTTGAACCATCCCTGAGTCCCTGTAATGAATCCCACTTGATCATGGTGTACGATTCTTGTAATTTATTGCTGTATTCGGTTTGCCAATATTTTGTGGAGGATTTCTGCATCTCAGTTCATCAGTGATATTGGCCTGTATTTCTCCTTCTTCTTGTCCTTGTCTGGTTTTTGTATCAGGACAAGGCTGACTTCATAGAGTGCGTTAGTCAGTGTTCCACATTCTTCAATTTTTAGGAATAGTTTGAGAAGGATAGGCACTAAATCTTCTTTGGATGTTTGGTAGAATTCTCCAGAGAAGCCATTTTGGTCCTGGACTTTTGTTTTTTGGCTGGCTTTTGATTACTATTTCAATCTCTGTACTTGTGATTGGTCTGTTCAGATTCTCTGTTTCTTCTTGATTTGGTTTTGGGAGGGTGTATGAGTCTAGGAATTCATCCATTTCTTCCAGGTTATCGAATTTGTGGGCATATAGTTTTTCATAGTATTCTCTTATAATCCTTTGTATTTCTGCAGTATCTGTTGTAAATTTCTCTTCTTCCATTTCTATTTATTTGAGCCTTCTCTCTTTTTTTTCTTGGTGAGTCTAGCTAAGGGTTTGTCAATTTTGTTTATCTTCTCAATGAACCAGCTCTTAGTTTCATTAATCCTTTCTACTGTTTTTTTAAATCTCTATTTCATTTATTTGTGGTCTGATTTTTATTATTCCTCTCCTTCTGCTGACTTTGGGCTTTGTCTGTCCTTCTTTTTCCAGCTCTGTTAGGTGTACTTCAGGATTACGTATTTGAGATTTTTCTTGCTTGTTGAGGTGGGCCTGCATTGCTATGAATTTCCCGCTTAGGACCTCTTTTGCTGCATCGAATAAGAGTTGGTATGTTATATTTTCATTTTCATTTGTCTCCAGGTATTTTTTAATTTCCCCTTTGATTTCCTCAATGATCCAATGGTTGTTCGGTAGTATGTTGTTTAGTCTCCACATATTTCTGACTTTCCCAGTTTTGTTCTTGTGGTTCTAGTATTGTGGTCAGAAAAGATGGTTGGGATGATTTCAATCTTCTTAAATTTATTGAGGCTTGGTTTGGTTCCCAACATATGGTCTATCTTTGAGAATGACCCATGTGCACTTGAGAAGAATGTATATTCTGCTGTTTTCAGACGGAATGCTCTCTCTATATCTATTAAGTCCATCTGATCAAGAGTTTTATTTAAATCTACTATTTCCTTGATATTTTGTCTGGATGAGCTGTCCATTGATGTGAGTGAGGTGTTGAGGTCCCCTACAACTATTGTATTGCTGTTAATTTCTTCCTTTATGTCTGTTAATAATTGCTTTATGTACTTTGGGGCCCCTATGTTACGTGCATATATATTAATAAGTGTTACATCCTCTTGGTGGAATGTCCCTTTTATCATTATATACTGTCCCTCTTTGTCTATCTTTGTCTTTTTTAACTTGAAGTCTGCTTTGTTTGATAAAAGTATGGCAACACCTGCTTTCTTTTGTTGGCCATTAGCTTGGAGTATTTTCTTCCATCCCTTCCCTCAAAGCCTGTGTTTGTGTTTGGAGCTGAGTTGCGTTTCCTGGAGGCAGCATATTGCTGGGTCTTGTATTTTAATCCATCCAGCTACTCTGTGTCTTTTGATTGGAGAGATCAATCCATTTACATTTAGAGTGATATACATTTAGAGTGATATTGATATATGAGGGCTTAAGGCTGCCATTTTATCTCTTGTTTTCTGGTTGTTCTATGTTTCCACTGTTTCTCTTCCTTTGCATTTCTGACGGCCACTTCATTTTATTGGCTTTCTGAGGGAGATTTCTCACTTTTTGTGAATTGTGGCTCTGCTTTGATTTTTTGGTTAGTGGTTACCATGAGGGTTGTAGGAAAGATGTTGGAGATGTGATAGACCATTTCCTCATGGCCGCTTATCTCCATTAACCTAAGCAGGTTCCTTCTCTTTCCTCTCCCCTTCTGAGTAACTGCTGTTAAAAAATTTTCTGTTTTTAATTTTGTGAGTTTGTAGCTAAGTTGAAGTGTTTACCATTACTTTTGATGCTTTCTTTCCTTTTCTCTTATAAGTTGTAATTGAGTCTTTGGTTCTCTGTCCTGGTAGAGAACACACGTTTCTTATCATGTCTATTTGTATCCTTGCTCAGAGCTTTGTAGACCTTTGCCTTTCTGTTGCCAGTGTGAGGGCATCTTTGCTTATTTCTTGTAGGGGAGGTCTAGCAGCAATGAACTCCCTCGACTTCTGTTTATCTGGGAAAGATTATTTCTCCACCGTATCTGAAGGAAAGTTTTCCTGGCTAGAGCATTCTTAGCTGAAAGTGTTTGTCTTTCAGTATTTTGAATATATCATCCCATTCTCTCCTAGCCTGTAGAGTTTCTGCTGAGAAGTGGTCTGAAAGCCGATAGGATTTCCTTTGTAGGTTATTTCCTTCTGCCTTGCTGCTCCTAGTATTTTTTCTTGATCACAAACTTTTGCCATTTTTATAATTATATGCCTTTGAGAAGTTATTTTAGTGCTGATGAAGTTGGGCATTTGATTAGCTTCATTTATCTGTAAATCTGAAACCATCCACAGTTTTGGTAAGTTCTCAGCAATTATTTCTTTGAACAAGCTCTCTGCTCCTGTCTCCCCCACTTCTCCCTCTGGAATACCTATAATCCTTATGTTGCTTTTCCTAATTGAGTTGGCTATTTCTCAAAGAATTCCTTCCTTTTTTAAAAATCTTAGTTCTGTCTCCTCCTCCACCTGTAGAATGTCCACATTTTTACCCTCAAGAAGAATAATTCTTTCCTCCATAAGATCAGTTCTATTTACTAATGATTCTAGATTATGTTTTATTTCATCAATTGTGTTTTTCATATCCAGAATTTTTGCTTCATTTTTTTATAGTTTCAATCTCTTTGGTGAAGGGATTCATTTTATTGCTGAGCTCCTTGAATTGTCTCTCTGTGTTTTCTTGTAAGTCATTAAGTTTCCTTATGATAACTATTTTGAATTCTCTGTCATTTAGGTTGTATATTTCTGTGCCTTCAGTGTCTGTTTCTAGAGAATTCTCATTTTCCTTCTGGTCTGAATTGTTGCTGCAGTTTCTCATGGTGCTTGATGAACTAATCTTTTGTTGGGGCATTTGTGGTATTCTTAGGGCACAGATTCCCCCTGTTACTGCTGGGTGTGGGGGAGCAGGAGCAGTGTTCCTGGCCCCACCTCGTCTGCTGGGAGCTGTGTGTGTATTATGGGTGCTTGCCCCAGCCTGGGGTGCGTTCAGGCACTTGTGTGGACTGTCCTTGTCAGGCCAGGCTTCCTCACTGGGCTAGGTCCACTCTGGTGTGTCAGGGGTCCTCTGAGCTCCCCCTCCCTGCCTGAAAGTGGTCACCAGTGGGATCAAAGCAACCGTGCCTACTTTGACAGCATCCTGGGGCCTGTTCCTCCTTTGGGGGCTCAGCAGCACTAGGAGTACTCATACACGTGCCTGAGGAGCATTTGCCCCAGCAGGTCGATCTGCTGAAGTCTTTGTTTATGGTCTGCAGTCTGAGGGGCCACTGTGCTTGGTGAGTGGGGCTACCCTGCTGGGACCCGAGCTATGGCTGCTCCTTGACAGCACTGGGGCACAGCAGGCTCTCCCTCTCCACCAGGAAAGTGAACCTGAGTGGGCCCAGCTGCATGCCTATTCCCACAGCTGCCCAGGACGTGTTCCCTGTTTGGGAACTCAGCAGCACTGTGAGTGCTCACAGACATGCTTGGGAACCTTTTGCCCCAGCATGTAGATCTGCTGAGGCCTCTGTTTACAGTCCACAGCCTCGGTTCACTAAGTTGCTGTGCTTGGAGGGTGGGGCATACCCACTGGGACCTGAGCCTTGGCTGGTCCTTGGTGGCACAGGGGCAATAGTGGGCTCCCCCTCCCTGCTGGGAGAGTGACCACAAGCGCAAGCTAAGGGTTACCACCACCTCTTCTTACAGATGTCCTGGTGTGTGCTCCCACTTTTTGGGCACTTGCACCAGGTTAGCAAGCGTTGGTGTGCATGACAGGGCTACTGGGAGAGAGAAGGTGTGCTCATCTATCTCTGCCACTTCCCAGGGGGCCAGTCCATCCACCCTCAGATGTATATAGCTGCCTGTGTTCTCAGGCATCCTGTTGTGCTGTGTGGGCTTCCTCTGTTGGTCAGGGAATGTCCAGGTAGTTGTAGTTCAAAGGGGGAGTGATGAAGGGAACAGCTCACTCCCCCATGTTGCTTGGAAGTCCAATGTTTACTTTCATCACTGCTGTATCTTCAGAGCCCAACCACATAGCCTATCACAGACAAGATACTCAATATTTGTTGAAGAATGAATAGATGAACGAATTTATATACTTTTTCAATATTCCTAAGGACCAATGCAATTTTTATTCTCTCTCTTGCTCAGCTGCTGGCTCCACTCAGAAAGTGGATTTATATGGGGCTTCCTTGGACCAGTCTGTGCCATCTGCTCTGTGAGTGATGACTTCAGAGCATCCTTAATGCTCAGCTGAGGGTCATTAGAAGGGCAGAATTATAAGGGGTGGATGAGCTGGAATATCCTTGGGTTGTCATGGATTTGGTTTGGTTTTCTGAGACTGCTCCAAAAACTACAAACTCTAACACTTTTACTAAATGTGGAAACTACTTAAGAATGGAATTGATGTTGGACAGGCTAGGATACAGAAACAGATTGGAATTTTAATCAATAATCCTTCTGTGGTTTCCTGAAGGTCAACTTTGTTTTCTTTCTGATGACTCTCTGGATGTTGAAAAGCAGACTCTCTTCCCTCAACAGTGATGTGTCCACCCTGCAGGACACAAGGTAAGCCGGAGGAGAGGGTGACAGCCCACAGCCACGTGTGGTCCCAAGAGTGAAGCCATGTGCCTCAGCAGCCCCTGCTGCCCCTTCTCAGGGTCTTCTGAGAACCCAGAGTAAACAGACCCAGCTATGCTTCTGTGGCAGCCAGCTCAGACTCAGGGGTGTGTGGCTGACATGACAGCCAAAATGTTCCGTCCATCTCTAAGCCCAGACTGTTACTCTCTCAGCAGCAGGAAGAACGGACATTGGTTGATAAACATTCTTTGGAGTTTTATCAGCAGTCCCATGACAAAAGTGCAAAGAAGACTTATGTTCCCATGAAGCACTTAGAAAACTCTGTGCCTGCTCCCACACCAGCCTACATTTTCACACAACACCATCAGTTCAGGTTACTTCTCACCCGTCGTCCATTCCTCTCTCTGGAAAGAATCCTAGTCAACATCAAATCTAGGAGGTTGGGCAGCCCTTTGCTCCAGGAACCCTTGTGGAAGCTTAACGATGTTTCTTCTATATTCCTATCATCATCCTTTCCAAATGGAAATAGAATGTTACATTTGTTATTTGTTATGCTCAGGCCCCAGCACAGAGCCCGATGCACGGTACCTCCTCAGTAGTGTTGGCTGAGTGAAAATAGGGATCCCTGTGGAGAGTCATAAAATTTTTGAAACTTACATTTGAAGTATCACTATCCTCCTCAATCTAAATCAAACTGCCCTCCTGTACCTGAGTGCCATTTCTATTGTGGGGAATCATTGATGGCAAAGGTCAAATATGATCACAGTGCAGCCTGAGAACTCATCGCCAGCAGAGGAAGGCAGGAGCATCCATGGGGTGGAGATGTGAATGGCGTTGGTTTTGTTGCTCTCGGTGTCTCAGGAGCCTCCTTTCTCCTCCTCCACAGGATGCTGACTTTTAAAGCTACAGCTCAGCTCTTCATCTTGGGATGCACCTGGTGTCTGGGAATCCTGCAGGTGGGTCCAGCTGCCCACGTCATGGCCTACCTCTTTACCATCATCAACAGCCTGCAGGGCGTCTTCATCTTCCTGGTGTACTGCCTCCTCAGCCAGCAGGTACCACTTTCCAGCTGCCGCCCAGGACTCATCCCATCCTCACCTCTCTCAGTGAGCTGATCCAGAGTATGCTTTTCCTCCGCAGGTTCGGGAACAATACGGGAAATGGTTCAAAATGGTCAGGAAACCCAAAGCTGAGTCTGAGACTTTCACGCTTTCCAGCAGGGCCATGTCTGATGGCTCCAAACCCATCACAGTATGATCATGCGTTGCTCCCAGAATACTTCACCAACTGATCTGCCCGAGCAGCCCATACCTATCACACTGGACAACCTGGGTGAACAGCAGATGATGCCCTAGGCTGGCTCACGTTTGACTTACTCCTGGACTCATTAACCATTAGCAGTGGTCTCAGTTTAAAAGTTTATTTTAATAAACATATTTTGCTTAGGGAACTGTGTTCATCTTGACCTTTATACATCAGTGCTCTTACTGAATACCTGCTATGTGCTGTGCTTGGTTAACTAGATAAGCAAAAATCAATGATCCAAAGTAGTGATGCATGTTCTACTCAGAGCCACATTGTTCTATCCTTCTCTGCACACCTTCTATCTCAGTCACTCAGCAGCACTCACAAAAAGGGGGAAATGGAAGGAAATGATGCACATATTTATGAATTAAACAGACATAAGGGTTAGCTGGCATTTTAGACTTTCTTAAAAAGACTTCCTCATATTTTCAACAGCTTCTACACTATGCAAAACCTTGAAGGAAAAGCATTAATGACATGGGATAATTCATGGCACAGATTACAAAGAACCAACACAGTGGTTTAAACTTACAAAGTCCTTTTACCTATGTTTTCTCAACTCTTCCATCTTCTATGAAATCCCTTGAGTTGTCCTTACCATTTAAAGGAGTCTAGGATTCTGCCAGGAAGTCCTTGTGCATTTCTCTTGTTACCTTGTTCACCCAGCACTGGCTCCACTGTTGAATCTTCTCTCTCCTCCCCCTTTCTCGGAAAATGTTCTCATCACCTATTTCACAGACAAAATCAAAGACATTACGATGCTTTGTATATTTCACACAATCCACCATACCCACCAAACGTCAGCGTGCATCCCCTCCACATTCCTGTGTCATCGACACAATTCCCTTCTCCTTCTGAAGACAATGCTTCCACCTGTGCTTTGGATCTCATCATTCCTGCCTTATCAACTATCCTCGCGTTATTGTTCACACATTCTCTCTCTCTCTCTTCCTCCCTCCCTCTTTTCTTCCCTCACCTTCTCAACAGTGTTCTTGCTAAAGTTAAGGAAACATGTTTAGTTTTCTTCCATTTTTCACACATGTACTACTTGGCCCTGTTCTAGCTACCAGCCGATAGTTGACTTTTCTCTGTGTCTCAATTTCCCTGCTTTAAACTCACTCCCTAACCCCATGCAATATGGCTTCTTTCCCCCATGATTCCACCAAAACATATATCTCTTAGACCTACAGTGATCTCTGTGTTCCTAAAAGCCTTCTCAGAAACTTCCCACACTACTCCTCACCCCTTTCTCATGAAACTCTCCATCTTTATCCCCTATAGATTCTATTTACACTCCCCTGTGTGTCTTTCTTCCATTCTCTCTAGCTTTTCTCTCTGTCTCCTTTACAGCTCGATCCAACGGGTTGGTTGCAGAAAAACTTCAGTTCTCGTTAAATTCTTTCCTCCTAAACAATCACATCCATTCCTTAGATTCAGTCACATATCGATGCAAATGATGCCTCTGTATGTTTCTCTAGATCTGACCCTTCCTCTGAGATCTAGAGGAACATCTCCACTTACTTATTTGACATTTTTGATATCTCAAAGACACCTTCAACTCGTCCTTCATATATAAGACTTGCAATCTTTATCCTAATTCAATTCTTTCCGATGGTGTCTGTCTTTCTGAATGGCACTACATCCATCCTGTGACACATCTTTGAGACCTGAAAGTTACACTTAACAATGATCTTACTCCCCATCACAACCTATTCATTATACAATGCTGTTCTTTTTTTTTTATCTTAGGTTTCCCTTTTTTATTTATTTGTTCATTTTTTTTGGTAAAGATGATTGACCCTGAGGTAACATCTGTTGCCATTCTTCCTCTTTTTTTCTCCCTAAAGCCTCAGCACATAGTTGTATATCCAATCATAAGTCCTTCTAGTTCACCTATGTAGGATGTCACCACAGCTTGGCTTGATGAGCGGTTGTAGGTCCACCCTCAGGATCTGAATAGGTGAATCCCAGGCTGCTGAAGCGGAGGGTGCCAACTTAACATCTATGCCACTGGACCAGCCCCAGTCCTGTTGTTCCCATATTCTCAATATGTGCCCAATATGTCCAGCTGGCTCAATCTCCATCACCCCCTCCTTGGCCAGGCTGCCATCTTTACTTGCCTGACGAACTGCACTATCCTCCCAACTGACCTGCCTTTTCTATTCTTGTCACCATCCAATGCATCCTTTACATAGAAGCCTGAGAGAGCTTTTCAAACACAAATGGAATCATGTCACTCCTTTGTTAAATCCATTTCATATAGGACCAAACCCCGAATCCATAATCAATGAGAATTTGCTTGGGTTGTCTCCTGCTCACCTCTCCAGCTTCATCTGCCACATACTCACCATTGTTCCAGCCACATGGGATTTCTTCCAATTTTTTAGATTCACCGTGCCTCTTTGGAATAAAGACTTTGTACATGTTCCTTCTTCTTGAAACACTCTTATGTCTCCCTTGGCTCAAAACTATATAAGCCTTCAGATCTCAGCTCATGCGTCAACTCCCCCAAAAAGCCTTCTCTGCCTGCTCAGAATAGGTCAGACTCTCTGGTTTTTCTCTCTGATAGCCACTGTGCCTTTCCCACAGAGCATCTGTCAGAGTCATTTCACTCTTGTTTTTCACTATCTGGTTAATGTCTGTCTTCCCTCTAGATCTGAGCTGCAGCAGGCACCATGCTGCTTTTCCTTCCTATTGCATCCTCAGCATTTCACACAGGGCCAGGTCTGTAGAAATGCTCAATGCATAATTGCTGCATGACTGATCACATTAACGAATGAACAAACTGCAGCTGCAGAAGAGGCAGGAATTGTCTTGTTTTCAATCTCTCTCCACGTCTAACACTTCCCAAGTGCTCAATAGTTACTTACTGAACAAATGAACAAATGAATGAATGAACTTCCTGAGCATGATGGAGGTAAAATATTAGAATAAATTATTGATCAGTTTAAGGTGCCTCTTTCTCTTGGGAATTTCAAGATAATTCTCTGCCTTACTTATTGTTTTGTTGTTAACCATCATGTCTACCTGTCAACACCCTAATATTTCTTTATGATCCAAGAGCTTTGTGGAGATCTTAGTTCCCAGACTGAAACAGATCTGGAATGAAATAGCAGCTCTACCAAGTACGTGCCATGTGAACTTGGTCAAACTGAGAAGCATTTTAAGTCCTCAATCGTCCCCTTCATCTCCCGTGTACAAATGAGACAGTTTTCTGAGTCTCGCCCAATCAGAACTAATTAACTGCTTCCATTTGAGGCTTTCAAGTGAATCATGCTTTGGTGGGAGGGGGATGACCATTCCCCCCACAGTAAATGTTGCTTCAGTCAAGGATGCACAATGTAACCGAGCAGGAGCGAATGCAGCATCCCTCAGTACAGTTGATGTTGAACACGTAAGGGAGGGACCCACGGATCTGAGAGGCTGAATTCTCGCTGTTCCACAGGCCTGTCCCACTCAGGGCTTCCACTCATTCAGGAAGAACATAGCAAGTGATCCACGCCTTTCTGTTTAGAGGGATGCTAACAGTACCTGTCCCTCGTGTTCTTGAGTCAGCTCAGCCTCAGCAAGGCCGTATCCTCATCCCTGGGAGCTGGTTCCCAGGAGTCCCTCACCCAAATCGGAGCTGCCCTCACTCCAGAATCCCAGAAAACTGATTCTTCCACATCTATATTTTGAATGTATTTGTTCCCTCTTGCTGTTGGACCAAATTACCACAGACTTACTGCTGAACCCAACACACATTTATCTCACTGCTCTAGAAGTGGAAAGTCCCAAATCGGTCTTAGGGACCAAAATCAAGGTGTCATCAGAGCTGCGTTCCTCCTGGAGATTCTAGGGGAATGTCCGTTTCCTCACCTTTTCCAGCTTCTAGAGGCTTCCTCCACTTCTTGGCTAGGGGGCCCTGCATCCACTCCATCATCACAGCCTGCAGCGTAGCATCTTCAGTCTCTTGGTCTCTCTCTCCTCTGCTTCTGTCACTCTATCTCCTTTACTGTCTTTGACTCCAACTCTGCTGCCTCCCTTTGCCCTTATAAAAACCCTAGTGCTTACATTGGCTCACCTGGATACTCCTGGATAATTTTCCCATCTCAAGATTCTTAGTTTAATTATATCAGCAAATCTGTTTTTCCATGTAAAGTAACATATTTACAAATCCAGAGATGAGAATGTGAGCATCTTTGGTGGATCAGTTTCCTCTCTACCATACTTATTGTACAAGGTTTAGCTTACCTATTGTAGAGCCATCAAAATTTGGCTCATAGGATAGATATTTGAACAAATATTTATCATCCTCTCATCCCACCAATTTTCCTCCTGCCCAGAGATGATGTACACAGTGAATCAAAGAAACATACCCTTTCTGTGGAGGAATGCAGCAATGGCATCAGATAGCTAATGAAACCTTCCAAAATTTGAGTAATCTCATCACGTACATGTACTATCTATGGGCAAAGGACCAAGGATATTCATTGCTTAATGTAATTTTACCTTCTATGATCTCCTAAAATTTAGTGTCTCTGCTGTGTAAAGATGTAAAGGTGTCTCCCTTTCATTTGGCATCCCTTCCATGGCTTCCTGAAGTTTCATCCAAGGAAAACAAAATAGTTTCTCTTGTTCTCAGGTCTGAGTAATTTCCTGAAGTACAGTATTTACAAAGTTTTTGAGTAAAGATAAGCAGGTGAAGTCGCCCATCTAAATTTCAGAAATTTTGCTTAGCTTCCTGTGCACATAGGAATAAATAACTCACATTGGGGGTGGAAAGAAGAAGGGCATGAAAGGAATTTAATGCCTTTTCCTTTCTATCTTAGGTGAATAACTATAGGTAGTCCTTCCTACATTTCACTCATTTCTCAGCTGCCGTCTTACGTGACTCCAGGCGTAGAGCACCTTTTCACAAACCCTGAAGCAGAGGGAGCAGGAAACACATTTGAAACAGATGGATAATTTTCTGGAGCAGATTTAATTGCTGTTGTCTTCTGTAACTTGGGGGTTAGGAAACGTAGGGAGATGGGATTTCTGAGAAAGACCAGGGTCTAGCAGAAGGCAATCTGATACGGCCTTTTGGTCTTGCCTTGACGAATCCATCTGGCACAGAAATTTTGATTACTTCCTAAATTTTCTATTTTTTTCCAAAGCAAACTT